AGTTTCGAAACCCAAATCTGATGCATATGTCTCTCTATAATGCCTCAGAGGTTCAATCAGGGGATGTTTAAAAGCTTTCTTCTGGTAGCAGGCAGCAAAAGTCACTCAAGAGGCAAGAGGAATGATTTGTCAAGAGGTTTCTGATTCCCAAAGCTGGTATTCAGGAGCAGTTTTGTTCTGAGTATCAGTGTGGCTTCTAGAAACAGAAATTCTGCAGTTATGCTCTGAGGCTGCTTTGGAAATACCTTCCTAGGCCAAAAGCAATATATAAAGTATGAAAGACCATGTAAGTTACTTCTGCAACACTCAGTTTCTAAAGGCATTCACACTTAGCAGATACCTGAGTCTTATCTTTCAGGGAAAAAATATTAAAAAGACATAGAAAGTAAAACGTTTGTGTTTACAAAGGTTTTGTAACTGAAAAACTGGCTGTTCTCTTAAAATTATACAAATGGTACTAAAATTATTCTAAGCTGGTTGTGGGCTTTCCTGTCGTCAGGTCTACTTGGTACAGAGTAAATTCGTGGAATAAAGAGAAGAAGTTTCAAAACTGTAAGAAATGACGGACTCTGGAATTTTGCTCAGGCTGACAGTTTCCATATGGTCATAGAAAACCAGGAGAATTTTTAAAAGATGTCTGTGTGCCACCTTGTACAGATTTAGCTACTTTGGTAGTGCACATAAGGAGGTGTCACAGAAGACACTGCTATCTCCTTGCCAAGGAAACTAGACAGGTATCAGTCTGCACTCTCTAGTGAACAGCACAAAGCAACCAGTCCTTTCATTCGATCAACTTCCTCCTTGAGTTGGACTCAATTATTCTTTTGGGTCCCTTCCAGCTCAGGATACTATGTGCATGATAATGCAAACAGCTATGAGTATTGACTTTCCTCCATGCGAAAACAAAATGTCTTGCATTTGTCCCGAGGTCTCCAAAAATATCTCAAGCAAAATAAATACCCATCACAATTCCAGAGATCTCCTTATCTTTTCATCATATTATGATTATTTTTTCATCCCAAAATATGAGACCACACGATGGACCCATGAGATGGGGCAGGAGGAAGCTGGCAAGCCTTTTAAAGAGGGAGATGCCAGGCTGTGCATCCAGGAGAGCTCCTCTGAGCACAGAGCAGCCACACAGCACATCTGATCACAACATTGCCACTTTACCTGTGTCCCACGATGTGGCAAAAGAACAAAACAGTGGCAGGAAAGGAGGCAGAAGTCAACTGTGAGAGTTGCATTCTCAACACATCGTACTCAAAAGTCAGAACAAAGGAGTTATCAAGGAGCACCAACAGCCATGAAAATGTATGCAAGCAGCAAGGACAGGTGCTTTGTATGCCCCTTCTGCTTCCCATCCTCAATGCACAACCAGTTTCAGGATACAGTGGCATCCCAGGAAGCTGCAAATGCTCAGGAGTGCAGTGGCCTCCTGCCTCTCTGATAAACCCTTGGGAAAACATACTGTTTAATATCAATGAAAGAAAACCAAGGAATCTAGTCCAAATCAAGATCTAGGAGAGCCCAGCCAAGCCAAAACATGGAGAAGCACAAAAGTGCTGTCAAAGCACCTTTCCACTCCGCCTCCCTTGAATTCAACAAGGACTAAGCCCCAGACCTCACAGCTGGCAGCAAATGCAGCTGTTTGGGAAAGGAAAACTCAAGTGCCATTGCAAGCCAGCCCTCCAAGGCTGAGCCCCAGCCAAGGCAATACCTGCAGCATGTGTGCAGGTGGCACAAAGAGAATCTCTGTGCCATGGCCAGCAGGACAATGCCAGCCAAAGGGGTGGCTGAGGACAGCCACAGACGGTTTCACTGCCTGCACCAGGCAGCCAGCCCTGGCTGAGGGGAAACCTGGACACAGGACAAGGCTGAGAGTGGGCAAATGTTCTACTCCTTCTCAAAACAACTTTCTGTTCTCCTTTTGAAGTTTCACACTCCTTGGATCTGATTAAATTTGAAGGAAAGGAGGAGTAAGAAAAATTTTTGGACAATGGGCTGGTTTTTCAGCTAGCTGGGACTGTAAGCAATGCTTGAAAGGAAGTGTCAGGTCCTAAAGCAAATTTCTGTGTCCTTTAACAGCAACAAGAAAAGTATGAACAAGAGAGGGGCTATACCTATTTTAGGAATGTCACTGTTTTATAGGAAACACACCAACCCCAGTGTTCTTCTAATTTTGTTTTCTAATACTCAGTGCTTGTAAATTCCTTTGGTCCAGGAAGTCAAAGATTTCATCAGATAGCATAAATGTTTAAATAATAAATATTTAAATAATAAGGAGTTGCACACCATTTATGGGAGATTTTTAGTTCTTAATTTTTTCATAAATATCACTTACTGTACACTGGACCTATGAAGAATTAAGGAAAAAGGCCCTCAACTACCCTGTGCTGGTCATCTACAAAAAATTTCATGGCAGAGTGCAGCAGCTTCTGGAAGCCCCTGGTTTACCACCACCTCCAAAGCATGAGAGTAATCTTCCAGAGACTCACCATGGAGAGGCCAAACAATTGCTACTGGTCTTAAAATGAAAAGAAAAATTGCTCCAAGGAGCTAAAGAGAGTCTGCTGGCTTGGTCTCTATTCCTACTCCGCTGACAATACAGAACAGTAAAGAACACAGATTTCTGCTTTATACCTCTTAAAGCACAGGAAAGATAGGAAGATAAAGACAATTCATAAAGATGGGAAAGAGTCCTGCAACAAAGAACCCTCCACTGCATGCTCAAGAAACAAATTCTTACGTCTTCTTCTAGACCACTCATAAATCAAGCGGAATCAGTTCTGAAGTCAGATTTTAATAACTCTAAATGAGATTTTCTTTCACAGTTGCATTATTGGAGTCATGTAAACTCCTGGAATCCATATCATCTTCCAACTATAAGCTGCAGAGTTTAAAGAGAAATACCTGATTCAGTTGGTTTTGAATCTGCTGCCTGTCAACTTCTTTTGATCTTGCCAAAGGCTTTCTGGGGAGAACATTGTCAATGGAATTTTTGTGAAAGCAGTGTGAGAATCTGCAGAGATTGCTACACAGCTTGGATGTTAGAGGAACTTCTGAAAATAAAATGCAAATGTTGCAGCTTATTTCATTGATTCAGAACTTTGCTTCAGCTGAAAATAGTCCAAGAATTTCATTTTCTAGTGTCTTTTGGTGGCCCATAGAAAGAAAAACAAAAAAAACCCAAAAAAACCCCAAACCAACATTGGTCCTTTTGCAAGTTCAAACAGATATTCTGCTTTCACACTGCATTATGACAAAGCAACACTCAAATCAGCATTCAGAAAGAGCCCTGAGGCTAGATGTTGTATGTAAATTCTATTCACCTGATTTTATCAACTAGCTTTCTGTTTATATGATCTCTGCTACTGCAGTCACTTTCAAATCTTAGTAAAAAGTAGCAATTTCTCCACCTTAACTTTGTGGGAAATTGTGGGGGTAAATACATAACGTTGTGTGCTGGATTTGCATTCATTGATACTTGCTGAGGAGGGAAGAAGGAAACAATTTTTCAGAGAGAAGCTGCTAAGAGTTCCTTCTATGCCTGGAAAAAACCAATAGCTGGTTGCCTCTGAGAATTGACAACCTATTAAATCCTTTAGGAGCTGGCTCCGCCTCTGTGGAATCCACATTTTAAAAACAGGCAAAGCTGGGAAATCCCCGGCCCTGCTCCGCTGCGGGCTGTGCGGTCAGGCAGGGCCGGGCTGGGCCCCAGCAGTGGCTGGACAAGGGACGGGAGGCCGCGGGGCCCCGGCCGAGGCTGGGCTGGTTCACAGCTGCTGACACCAAGCCCTGCCCCCGCCGCCAGCCCACGCTGAGACGGGCTTTGCTGTGCCCTGGAAGCGGCTCCTGAATGGGCCAGGCCCCCTCTGTGGCCCCAGCGGCTGCCGGGCAGAGGGAGGGGCCCAGCACGGCCTGAAATCCATCACTGAGACTGCTGCCACCACTGCCCATAACCTTCTGCAGGCCTCGGTGAGATACTGACCCTTTCACTGTGCAGATGAGACCTGCAGACTTTGATTCTCTCTCCAGGGAGAGAAAAGATAGAGTGAAGGCACAGAAAAGATAACAGGAAGACACCAAGGTCAGTAAAGAAGGAGTCAAGTCTCAGAAGGAGAATGAGGAGATGCCCTAGCCTTGGGGCTGGAAGCTCTTTTGGTAAGGCCATGGAGATCAACTGTGATACACTGAAATATCCCCTTTTATTAGTGAGAAACTATGGGTACATGAAGTGTTCAAACTGTAGATGTGAGCAGAGGCATCTACTGATGAAGCCAAGCAGATGTTGGAGTAGATGTGATCCCATGAGAAGCATGAACAGAGAGAGAGAGATGAGATTGATGAAGACCCTTTACCCTCAGGGAGAGAGGAAGAAAACCTCTGTTCCCAGAGATGATCACAGAGACAGGTGGAGAACCTTTGACTTTGAACAACCCATCCTTAAAATAATACCCAATGAGTTCATGGCCCACGGACACACCTCTGGAAAGGCTGTGAAAATGGTAGGAATGTCACAATGCAGAATTTTTCCCAGGCAGCTGCTATTCGTGGAAATGAAAAGCCATGAGAAAACTGTTTCTTGTGGAGAAGTCTCTATGGCCTGGCACAAGAAAACTTCTCTCCCTAGAAGAATTGATGAAAGACTGTTGTATAGTTGGTACAGCTTTAACATCCCAGGTTTTGTCTCTATGTGGTCAGCTGGGAAAGGAAAAAAGTTGGGAAGAGGGAGGAAAGGTGTTCTGGAAGTCTTATTCTGACGTTTCTTATTCTTGTAGTCCTGTTAATAAAGTTTCTTTATTCCTTTTAAGTTTTAAGCCTGGTTTTTTACCCTTCTAATCCATATCTCACAGCAAGAAATGAGAAAATGCCCTGGTGATTTTAGCCAGTGCTGAACCCACCACATTATTTAGTCCATTGGCCAGCAAACCCAAATTGGCAAATCTAAACCACTACATGTGGTATGAGAGACACAGATAAAAACTAACACCAATGTATCACAGTATTTAGTCACTGAGCAGTTTATTAATAATTCCATTAAAAGCTGCAGCAATCTTTGCTACAGTTAATCTCAAGCTATTGTCTTAGGGCAGAAATTATTATTAATTATTATACAAATTATTATTAACATACAGTGATTTGAAGCCAACAAAAAGAAACAGGCAATACCACATATAAAAGAGCATTTGGTGACTACTACTGAAGAAGGGAACTAATTCATTTTCTGTCTAAAATGTTTTAAAAGTTCTCCCACACCATTTTGGTTTCTCCAGACCCAGTTGCCTAAGCACTTCCATCTTTCTCGAGCTGCAGACCCATCTGGAAGAGACTCACTAGCCAGCAGGAAAAGAGAAACTATGGCAATGGCTGGCTCAGCAACTACAGCAATGATGTCGCTTCCCAGATTTTCCTCTAGAAAGTAATGGTTTCTCTTTCGCACTGAAAAAAGGACACTCTAATGCTTCCAAGAAAAACGGGACTCAGCTCAAATACAGTACGCCGGTTTTGCTTAGAGGATCTGTTAAAAAAGCAGTGAAACATCATCCCAGCTGTAGATTGCTCTTGTTAAGAGATACTTTAAAAAAATATGCAGAGTGCACTTCAAAGTGCTTCTTAGATGAAAAATTACCCCATTTTGGAGAAAGCTTTGGATACTGCAATGATGAACTTCATAACCTATCCCTTACAAGTCAAAACAAGAATTCACTGTCAATATTCCTGCTAAATTACCTGTGTTTACAAAATTCAAGGTCCATTATGCTTCCCGTGCACCATCACTGACAATCTCCAGATAATAAAAACCACAATCTAAACTCCCTAGTGACAGGTTTTTCATGTGAACCATAAATAGGGAATAGAAAAAGAAAATAAAACAACAGATGACAATACAAATCTGGAGAAACCTGCAGACTAATGAGGTCAATATCTAATGTTTTGACTACAAAATCCACTAAATAATACACATTGTGCACAAACATGGAAAGAGATATAAAAAAAAGAAAAATTAAAAAACAAAAAAGCAGAGCTTAGTGTTGGTTCTCTTTTTCCAAAGAAAACTTCACCTCTTGAAAGCTGTGATATGTATGATTTCTCGCCAATCTATAGTGCTAGTTTTGAATTTTTATGTGTTAGACAGTTTCTTTGCTTTCTGAAACTTTCACATACAGTGAAAAAAAGAGTTAGTTCCCCAAATTAATGACTTCAAACAGCTTTGCAACCACCCACTATGCTCCACACAAAGTACAGACATGGTTGGAGGTTACACCTCATTGCATAAGCAAGGTCTTGTCCAGGGAGGTTACAGCTACCGGTGACCCACATGGGAAATCAACAAGATGGGTCCCCGCTTTCTTAACCTCTGGAACGCACTTACTAGGCCATCACCAACACAGGCACCAATTCACATAAATCCAGAGATGGAGAACCACGAATTGAAGCATGGTCATGGGTTTTGGTCACAGCAAAAAAGAAGACCCAGGAGCACAAAACAATAAGGATGCAACAGAAGGGGGAAAAGCAAAATACAATGAATTGCAAGACAAGAAGGACAGAACAACTTGGGCAGAACCCAAAATGGATTAGGGGATGAAGTAACTCTTCCAAGGTATATAGGAGAGGTCCCACAATACACAGGGCTTGCCCCATTGTTCTAGGGATGTAAAGACACACGTCTCACTTTAACACTGCTGATCTAAAACCAAATCCTTCCCTCTTCAGTGGGGGCACACTAGAGTCAGACTTCCATTTCTCCACTCCTCAAGCCTAGGCAGTGCTCAGGCACTGTCCAGACCTAGAAAAAAAAATCATAAACAAAAGTCGAAAAAAGTTTCATCTCAGTTGAAACACCATGGCAATGTTCATCAAATATTTAAAGATATATCCTTATAAAAAGAGGGATATGCATACTTATATAAACATATACGCACATGAAAAGTCAGGTGCAGAACACGGCTACTAATGAAATAAATAAAAAACATTTTAGGTAGAAGATTCCTGATATATTAATTTGATTTATACTACTCAAAATTCCCATCCAGACATTGCATGCTATAACATGTATCATTGACAGTATTTCTAAAAAACAGTGAAATAGAGACAATTTCTCCAGGTTTTAAATCGCTTTCCCCAAGCCTTTGTGTACCAAATTTTTCAGACTATCGAATTTTAGGCCATGCCACTGACTAATAACAGCACTTAGAAGGCATAAAGCAACAGAGACTTTTGTTACGTCCTATGTGCCCAACAAAGTCCCTGTCAGCACCCACAAGGACACCCTCCCCAAAGCAGGCCTGGGGGTCACGCACGGAGCGCTGATGCTGAGGTCACAGGGGCTCCTGTGACATCATCACCCAGGCCTAAGCTGTAGAGCTGGGTTGTGCAGCAACACAACTTGCAGAGTCGAGGAGAGGATCGCGCACAAGCAGCTTCCCAAGCCCACGGAGCCACTTCTGGTGCCTCTTGGGCAGCTCATACGCACCTCTCGCCACCCAGCCAAGGATTGGTACGTTTGTCAGGAGGAGAAAGGCCGGCAGTGCTGCGGCACAGACCCTCCAGGCACTCGTCCATATCCTCGATGGAGCGGCAGGACTCTCTTGAGAAGTGTCCTCCTGGGAAGGAGAGAGGTGAGAGCCAAGTCTCCCTGCCCACAGTTCCCCATGGCTGGCACAGGGGGAGTGGCCAAAAGCAGCAGAAAGGGGAAGCAGGAGCTCCACAGAACAACCCCAGATTAGAGCCATCCCCTCAAGGGTTAGCGAGGCCAGGCTGGGCCGTGGGCACCTGTGCTTCCCTTGCCCCTCAGCCAGCCCAACAGGGACACAGCAGGGCCATGGGAACAATCCTGCAGGGACATTTCCTGAGCCCTGAGAAGCTGCTCACACATCATGTCCTCTCTCTCTCTCTCTCTCCCTTCACACTGCATCACGGGACAGAGGCAGATCCAACCAGCAGCAGCAGCCTCTCTCAAGAGCCCAGGAAATGTCCCTGCAGGATTG